AAGCCGCTGGTTTCATCTGTCAAACACCCCAAGTGACACACCGCTGCCAGATGAGCCTTCTTGGAACTTTACTTTGTGCAGGTCCCTCTCCTGCTCAAACCTCACACAGCTTCCTTCTTCCCACCCCTCCACCCCAAGCCAGTGGGAGCCCCTGCATCCCTAAGACTGCCCTATCCCACTGCATTAGAGTTGGTCCATTGCATGTCTGTTAACCCCACAAGACAGGAGCCCCCAAGGAGGCAGAGCAGTAACACTTCTTTATTCCTGCTCCTCGAACTTAAGTTAAAATCCAAATTGGCATCCCGTTACTCTGAAAGGTTTATTGGGAGTGATTCCAAACCCTCATATCCACTTCAGATCACTTTTTACTCAGTGTAACTTGAATATCAATCCAAACTTTTTGTAAAGATAGCCCTTTTGAAGGTACTACAGACCATCTAATTTTCTGTTACTAATTAATACAACAAAGAGCTGGACCACTACCGCTGGATTCAATGGAGTGCTTCCCATCAAGAGGCTGAAATTACAGTGAGAATTCAGAAGCTGCTGTTTTAGAATGCATGGAGAGAGGAGAGAGCCCAGGACTGGGACATCTGGTGTGCGGTTAAGGAGAACCGAGAATCATTTCCCAGAACCCACAGCCATTTCACCCAATGGTTCCCAGAGTCTAAAGTGATCTCTATTGGAGAGAAGTGAGGAAAGAAGCTGAACAATTAGCACTCTCAAAGCCCTAAACAGGGCAAATCATCTCCACTGGGTCCAGAGTTGAAATCCTGAGAAAAGACCCAATTTCCCAAGTGAAGCTCCAAGCTGGTCTGGCAGACTAGACATGTAAGCCTATGGTCCATGCCCCATCCCTCTCTGACACACATGGATGGGAAAATCCCCAGGGCACTGTCACCCCTGGGTCATCTAAATCCCAGGACCTGACACAGAGCCAGGAAACAGGGGTTCAAGAAGAAACGACCTGAAGTCAGGTCTATCCCCAGGTCTATCCTTATGGCCCTAACCACAGGTCTGTTTACTGAAGAACCTGGAGGGACCACACAATTTGTTTGCTTTTTATATCTCCTTCCCATGCCAGGGAGTATAACCTGTGTGTGTGCAGAGCCAATACACACCCACACAATCTTACAGAACACATGTGCTGCTGAACAAACACACAATGTGACCTTCCAATACTTACGGCCCATTGCCAGAGTTATTTCTGAAGCACACTTGCTGACTCCAAATCTCACTTGCCAACTGCGTGATCTTGGGTAAGTCTCCTAACCTCTCTGGGCCTTCCTTTCCTCAACTGTATGAAGGAGTGAATAGAACCTTCTTATAGGGCTATCTTAAGAAGTAGAGTTAATGCATGTAAAGCATCCACCCCGAGAGATGTTTCAAGGATTAAATCCTATCAAGCATGTAAACGGGCTAGAATACTGTTGGACACAGGTTAAATATTCAATATAAGGTAGCATTACTATTATTCATTGTTAGTGTAATATAATAAGTAATCATTACTATTTCCTTCTTGGGGCAGAACGCTTCACAGGACCTTCAGATGCTAACTTGGCTCAGCTTCTGGTCACTTGTTTGCCTTTGGACAAGTCATTTCATCTTTCAGCCTGGCCACTTTTCCCCACGAAACAAGTTATAAACCAGAGAATAATCCCTCTGTAGTCACATGTCTGCAAACATGTACTAGATGTTCCTAGGAGATCACTGTAACACACGCTTCTGAAGAATGTACTTGTTTCTTCCAGATAGGCACATTATCTGCAGTCATCCATACTACTTGTTGGGGCTTAATGAACAAATCACACTCTTTCTCTGTTTTGATGCTGTGTCTGTGCCAAGATTGTATTCTCCTTGAGGACAGAGGCCTGGCCTTGCCCTCCACGTGCCCTTGGCATTGGCACACAGTCACATTCCATCCCTCTTACTAAAGGAGCAATGAAAATTTGTTAACAGGGAACCATCATTTGTGGGCACCTTCCCCTAGCAACCCAGTAACGAGCCACCCACTTCTAATAGGCAAAACAGTGTTTGTGTATTCAAATTGGACTCCAGAGGCTACAAACTGTTTGTCCACAGGTCAACTACCAAATTTTGTTTGCCCCGACCACCTATGATTTAAAATTTTTAAGTTGGTTTCCAACTTTTAAAAATTGAGAGGTATGGCAAGAAAAAAAAAATCTAGATTTCAGCTTTTATTGAATAATTGGAAGATCTGGCAATAATCCGGGCTTAAACAATCAGCAGTAGCTGAAGAGTAGCTGCCCTCTTTATTGCTCTCTACCTCACTACATTCTCTACCACTCCCTCAGGGCTTTCCAGATCTATCCCAAGCTGTTAATCATTGATTGTCAAAACATAGGAATTAACAAACAAACAAACAAACAAAAAACAAAAAAAAACCCCCAAACCCTTAGGAATTAACTCTTGGTGTGCCTGCATCTGTGTTGTGCATTATATTTAACGCAGGGTGTTTTGCACAAAGCAGTCCAGAAATGCATCACAAATGCGAGAAGGAGGGACACACTTGACCTCATCTTGCAAACATGTGCTAAATAGTTCTGGGGAGATCTCTGTAAAGCATGCTTCCAGGAGGATACTTATGTTTTCCAGATAGGCAAGTTATCTATTCCTTCATGGGAGCCAGAGCAAAGACATAAATCTCGTGTCACTTATCAAAGCAAACTGAAGCAGAAGTAAACAGTGGCCTGAAAGGCAGAAAAGCAATTTTAAAAAATTAATAAATGATGAGACTATTAACAGCACATGAAAAGGGTTTGCTTTTTTCCCCTCCTCTTTAATATGATTTTTTACCTTAAACATTGTGTCCCTTTAGGAAAGGGAAGAAAAGTTAATAAAGGAACCTATCACTCAAACTTAATTTTGAGTATGGCAAATAAACTGCTTTAATGAAAGGGCTGAAATCCCTAGGTTTGCACATTAAATTTTCATTCGTAGTAGAGAATGGAAATTATTGATTCAGCCGGCATCATGCATTTTGAATCCTACAGTGCCTCGGAAGCCCCCGTTACTGCTGGGTGCAAATGTGTGGGCAGCGTTTTGATGCAGGGTGAGCGCAGGGTAGGTGAGGGGGTGGGGCAGACTGTCTCTTCATAGAATGAAAATAATCAATGTTCCTCGTCTGTAAGATCCACCTAGACAAAGCACTGCTTCCAATGGCACAGTGGATCAGGGGTTGCATTCTGAGATCGGAAAAGCCAGGTTCAGTCAGTCTTCCAGGAAGCCCAAACAGCTTCATGGGAGATTTTATATATGGCAGAATGGATGGCCGATGATTTGATCCTAAACTCTTGGGAAGGTTTGGGTTTCAAAAAAACTGGAGAGGAATGAAAAGGACTTTCTCAGTTCAAGGTCAGGGCGTCCATCAAGGGAAGAGTAAGTGTCTGACAGTCTAACGCTGAACGGGATAGCACAGAAAAATCAATCAAAACCACAAATACAGCCTCAACCCGGTGTGGCCTCAACAAACAGTCAGGGATGCGAGCCTCCCATCTTCACTTAAAGCATAAAAATAGGTATGTTTTTCCTTTGAAAGAAATTAATCCTCCTGCCTCTCAGAGGACTACCTCATAATTAAACAACTCTTAATTATTTCTCCACTAGATAGCTCAAGGGATTGATTTTAAGATGAGAAGGAGGCAGCCAGAGTCAGGCCCATTTTGGGGTCTGTGTGTACCACAGACCGTAAATATCAGGAAAGCAATCATCTTTCGAAATAAAATTAAACTCAACTGCAAAAGTAAAGCTGCTTAAAGGAAGGAAGGAGCAAGGGAGGACAGACAATCATGTAATATATTCCAAAAAAGAAGGTTTTTGTTTTGGCTTCGGTTTTGCTTTGATTGCCTCCTAGCTAAGATTATCTGATGCCAATCGTCTCCTCTGTCAGTCTGGATGTTGAAGAAGTAGGTGTGTTGAACCAAAAAGTTCTGCTTTTGTGTTTTCGTGTGCTGAGAGCTGGTGCCATCTATAGATCTCCATTCTGGGAGAGGTTTCTCTTTTGTCCTACTTTGCGTCAGACCTGCTGTCGTGAGGATAAGAGCGCCCAGGAGACACCTCCCTGTGGTTTAATAGGCTATGAAGGATGGGACTCATTAATGGGCTGGCAGCTGCCCCCAAGCAGGATGCTGCCTGGAGGTGGAGGAAGAAGGGGAAGGGAGGCTGAGGAGGAGGAGTCTCCATCCAGGAGATCACCACTGGCTGTGGGAGGGGGCCTCAAAGCAAACAGCGCCACTTCCTGAAGGCTCCCTACGAGATGAAGTCTGAACCAGTGTGACACACAGTCACAGAAACCTCTGTCTGGAGGAGCAGGCTCTGGGTAATTGCTTCTCTTTTTCAACTTAAAACAATCCCACCTGAGATATTATCTATAGCCCTGATTATTTTCCAATGGTTCGAATGTCACTTTTTCTGTCATTCCTTTACTATGTTCCTAACAATTTTATAGTACCCATCCTTATTACACTAGAGTTTATTTATAACTGATTTTGTCTTTTCTAGTCTCAGTTAGGAGATGAATTGTCCACCCTTTGGTAAAGTCGAACTGTTCAGCCTGGCCCATGAGGCCCTTGCCCACCTCCCATCCAAACTTAGGCCATGCTAGTCTATATGCTGTTCCCCACTCATAATGTTTACATTCATTTTCACAGCTTCTCATGTGCTGTTCCCTGTGTCTGGAACAGCTTTCCAGCCCCAGCTTCTTCCTATGGCTCAGTTCTGGCCATCTTTGCAGACTTGGGCTCACAGGCCTTCCTGGTGGGCCCTGACACCCCATCTGCCCTCTGTCCCCTCCCTCTACTCAGCCCACTTCTCATTCTTTGTAATGATCTGTATCCCCCATTTAGTACAGTGGGTGATAAATGTCCTTTGCATGAATAAAGAACACCACTTCCAGCTCCCTCATAGCCTGGATTTATTAGATCAAAGGGATGAAATTTAACCAGTGCTGTCCAGTCAGGAGCCGGCATATCACTTCTTACCTTTATGGTTTTGGTCTGGAGTCTGAGTCCATTTAAAGTGTTGATGGCTTTCTCTGCATCCTTTGGATCAATATAGTTAACGAATCCATACCCTAAACTCTGTCCTGTGGAAACATTTAAAAAAAAAGAGAGAGAAAGAGAGAGAGAGAGAGAGAGAGAGAGCTCAGTATCTTTATAGCAATAACAGCTCCCACTGCAGTAAGGAGTCAAAGCTTTCCTTTAGTATATGATGCGTTTTACAGCAGGGTTTACCCCAGGTGGAAAAGTTTCCAGTTCTTCCATCTCTCACTTTGGTCAGCCTATGAACTCACAGGAGCCACCCAAGTTAGGAATGGGTGAGCGCCCCTGCCCATCCACATACATACATAAGTGTCCGCTCAATCAGAAAGAAGTGAGAAGGTCGTGGAAAGAGAGCAGATGTGGTTTGTTAGAATTTAACTGGAGTCATGGGGCTTTTCCTATCAGCTGTGGGACAGTGGAGAGAAGTCATTTAATGTCCCGTTTCTTCCCCTACATGTTTTCTCTGGAGATAATAGCACTTGCCACAGACAAGTTTAAAAGCATTAATGAGATCTTGTGCATAAAATGCCTACCAAATACGTTGCCTAGAATATAGTAGCTGCTCAACGAAAGGCAGCTATGCTACGCTGAGTCCTGTGAAACTGGGGCGAGCTGAATGCAGTAGCTGTGTCTGCTGCCTCAGTCATGCCAGCCACGCCCACACGCGGAGGAATGTAGCAGGATCTGAGCAGCAAAGACAGAGACATTTATAGTGAAGGCATGACCAGAATTTAAAGCAGTTGCTACAAATCATTGGTTGCCCTCATCATCTCCCCAGCCCAAGAACAATTTAAAAAAAAAAAAAAAAAGGAGGGTTCTATTGGAAAGGACTGGGGAGCTCCTAACACAAAGGAGAGAGTGCAAACACATTCTGCAAAGAAGGTTTAGCTCCTTTAGGTGGAGATGGCATCAACTTGTCTGCAAAGAGAGGTAGCAAGTGACAGGGCTCCCCCCTAAGTGAAATAAAAATAATGTGCTTGCGATCGTGCCACTGATTATAAATAGTCCATCAGCTCTGCCATGTGTCATCAGCCAGAAATATCATTAGGAAACTTTACATTTTCTGACATACCCTTTAAGAAACACAGAGCTTAGGGTGGCTGCAAAACCAGCTTGAACTTCCCAGGCAATGTTATTGATTTGTGGGCGGCAGCAGAGCCGAAGGGGAGGAAAATGACAGGACGTCACATGTCAGGGAAGACTGATTACATAAAGCTCTTTTTGGAGTACCCGGGCCAGGTCTGGGAGACAATACAGCAAAAAGCCTGCCATGTCCTGGTGACAGGAGCCCATTTCAGCAGCCAAAAAATCTTTCCAACAGCTTCTGTTTTGCTGGTAAATGTCTGTGTTTGTGTTGGTTGTAGGAGGGAACCTGGGAAAACAAGTTGGGTTCTGGATTAGAAAATGGGTGACTTTGTCATCCTTTATAGGACGCAAGCAAAGAGCATCACGAGGAAATGGCTAAGTGCCCATTTTTGTCCCCCAAATGAGAACACTTTCCATTAGAATATTCCTTTGTGTTTTGGAATAACAGGGCTAGAACAGGAAAGACAGGAGCAAACTTTGCCAGATATACCCTTTATAGGCAGAATTAGTAACTGAAGAAGGAGGAGAGAATGTTGAACACTCTCCAGCTGCCAGGCCCCTCTGTGCGCATGCGTGCGCGTGTGTGCAGGAGAGTAAAAGTGTGACAGAGAGAGAGAGAGAGAGAGGTGTGTGTGAATTAGAAGACCCTGCCACATGTTCTGGGAAACTTCTGCAAATCCAAAAATATAAGAGACATTAGTTTAAAAATACCATTTATCCTAAATTTGGCTCCACCTCATCAAGCCTAACTAAATTCACCTAATTAAATCCATTTTCATCATTCAAATTTATCAGTTCCATTTTCCTTGTAAATCAGAGAAGTCTTAAAAATTGCAGTACTAAAATATTCTTATAATTATTCATTTTAAACAGTCAAGCACCAAGTTGAGATGCTTTAAAGGGCATTTTTAAAGCAATAATCTCAACGATAAACCGTAGTTATGAGTTCTAGGAAACAAGTCAGACAGTCAATCTGCCCAGCTAAATTGAATTTGTATGAAATTAAAATGAAATATGAAAAAACACAGACAAAACACTCACCCCTTAACTGCAAACATTAAACCTAAACCCAAATAGTTCATGAGTCATCATACTGATGGAATGTACGTGAAAGAAATTATTATGCCTACCAGTGGTGCATGTTCCCCAATATACTATATCTTTCTTTCTAATTATTCATGTATTTATGGAAATCTAAAGTAAATATAGTGGCTATGATTTTACATTCTATATTTTATCTTTATTTTAGGCGCTTCAGGTCCTAGGAAGGTTCTGAAGGTCAAGTGAAAGAAAGGACTCTTTTTTTTTTTTTAAGACTTATTTTTTTATTTTACAGAGAGAGAGAGCGGGGGTAGGGGAGTGGCAGAGGGACGGAATCTTCAAGAAGACACCCTGTTGAGCGCAGAGTCCAATGATGGGGGGAAGGGGGCTTGATCCCAGGACCCATGAGATCATGACCTGTGCTGAGATCAAGAGTCGGATGCTCAACCGACTGAGCCACCTAGGTACCCCAAAAGAGGACTCCTGCCCAGCAAGCTGTGTCATATCTACTCACCTGCCTGTATCAGTCCCAAACCATCACCTCAGGTTGAAGGCAATTAGCACAACTGTGCTATTATCACCTGCTCTAGGTTTAGAGAGAGACTGCACTTAACATCAGGAATGAGGGTGCTTTTGAGAAAAACTAAAAACCAGATGAACATCGTTTCAGAAAGGAAGAGGGGGAAAGACTGGAGGTTCTCTTTGATATGAAATAATGAGGTGCAAACAGTGAAACAGAACACTGCATTGAACAAGAGGGGAACAGAGGTGGAAAGCATTGCCTGTGAACTGAAAGACATGAGATAAACTGCCACACAATGATATTACTTGTGGTTAGCCTAGTTCGAGAACAGCTTCCTCACGTGCTTCTTGCCAACATAGGAGGAGTCCAGCTAAGTCTAATAAAAAATACTTGATGGAACTAAGCAATCTCTTTTAAAACACTCTAGAGATGATTAAATCCCGAGGTGGAAAATATAAAACCCAAGCCTCATTTCTTTCAAAAATTATTAGTAGTGGGGGAGAGTGAAACGAAGAATTCCGTTTTAACTTGTCTGTATGGTGGGCATACATTGGTGATGAGTTTTGGGTTTGCAGTTCTGTATTTAAATGCACATAGAAAACTATAGATGAAACACATTCACAAAATATACCAACACTATTTCCATGGGGACCCAGAGAGCCACCATGCTGGGAAGGCCCCAGGGGACCCAGTCTGGAGCCTAGAGCGAAGTGTGTGTGTATCTGCATCCCAGAAATAGATAAGGGACTCTTATTATTCCTTTTTCCCAAAATAACTACATCTTCCTTTATCAGCAGTAGCAAGATTTGACCATATAAGTATAGTGACAGGATTTTCAGAACAGAAAATTTTTTTAAATTTTATTTTTGTTCTCAACTTATGAATTTATTTTGATACCAAGTTGGTCAAATAAAACAATTAAACCATTGAGGTTATGGCTACTGAATCATCAATAAAAAATAAAATCAATAAAGAAAAGATGATATTATGAAATGAAGATTGCCTCCAAAATTTAGAAATTATCCTGAATACCTGGCTCCTTGATATTCAAGTGATCCACAGCCCTTACATGTGACCACTCCTTAATAGTCCTGTCCAGCAGGCACAGATGAGGGATCCCCAGTGATGATGCATGGGCAGTAAATGCATTCTTGGCAGTTTGGGATGGAAACTTAAAATTAGAATGTAGTTTCCGAGGGGAAACATTTATACATAATGGCTACATTTTAAGGCACTTCAGTGTATTTTGGATTAAAGAGGTTCATGTTTTTAACAAGCTTTTCTTAAATCTGAACATGAATATCTCTGTTTTGAAAAATTGCACAAATGCACACTCACACACACACGAACACAGTGTCCTCCTACTCTGACATAACAACATCTCCATTCTGCGGTAATAATTTGTATACCAACTTCTCCCCCCTGGAAACCAAACACTTCTCACAAGAACTAGCTTATAAAAGTTTGCTTCCTCGAACATAGTAGGTGCTCAACAAACAGATCAAAGAGTGGATATACCTGTCTGTACCGACCCTCCATTTCTGGAAGAATGCTTTATGCTTGGGGGAAAGGAGGGGGATCTGGGGAATTCTTTTTGCATTTGTGAGAAAGGGAGAGCATGACAAGCTGACACCAAGGATTGGAAAAGAAAACGCAATGAATGTCTGGGTGGGCTCTCCGCCAGCACAGATCAGGTGCTGCCCACCCTCGGAGTTTCTAAAGTGCTTTGCCACCTGTTCTGTCACATCTGACTCCTACAACAACCCCGTGGGAGGGGTAATCATCATTTTATAGATATGGAAACTGAAGATTAGAGAAAATAGTGATATGCCCTCCATTACAGAGCTGGATCTCAGTCTAGATCAGTGGTTGGCAAACTTTTTTTTTTTACGTACGGGGTGAGACAGTATGTAGTTTAGGATTGGCGGGTCCTCTGGTCTCTGTCATGACAACTTTGCCATTACAGCAAGAAAGCAGCCATAGACAGTATGTGTTCCAATAAAACACATTCAGAAAAATAGGCAATGGGCTCAATTTGGCCTTTGGGCCATAGTTTGCTGACCCCTGGTTTAGATCTTTTGAGTCCAAATCCAGTACCCTTTGCCATACTCACAGCTACCCCATTTGAACTAAAATATCACTGACAATGATACCAAAGCCCTGAAATACTTCTGAGGCTTTTTTGAATCATCTAAGAAAAACTCAACTATCTTCAATAATCTGCTCTAATAAACATCTTCATTGTATTCAAATTCTAGGAATCACCATCATAGCTGATTATAACCCATCATTTTCCCGGTCATTCTGGATAGATGTTGTTTTCCCTTCACCTTTGCAGACCTGGAGGTTATGACAGGAGGACCCCAAATGTGACATCCTCATGGTTGATGGCAG